CTGCTTTCATCTCTTACCAAAAAATGCAGGCAAGAAGCACCGAAAATATTCAGTACGTGTTAAAATGATTTAATATGAACATATCACAACTTAATCTGCTGTGCATTTACTTGTTATTGCACAACTTTTACTCCATGGTAAGCACACAGAATGCAGACGTACCTGAGCCTCTCCTGATATTTCACAATAGTGCATACATGTTGTAACAGTGTTTTTACTTATACAATTTTATGTGCCCAGACATGTGAAGCTCTAAGTGAAAACTGAATAGAGAAAAAGCTGAGTCAGAACCAAGTAACGAACTCAATAGCCAGGGAAACAATACAAGTTCACGTATCTAATCCAGGTCAAGATGAAGGGGTTTTGTAGATGCAATTAATGTACCTGATTAGTTGGCTTTGAGTTCATCGAAAGGGAGATTATCCTTGGTGGCCTGACTTAACCAGGTGCACCCTCTAAAAGAAGGTCTAGACAAACCAGTTTGGCTCAGGGGATAGGGCATCGGCCTGCGGACTGAGGGGTCCCGGGTTCAATTCCGGTCAGGGGCATGTACCTTGGTTGCAGGCACATCCCCAGTAGGAGGTGTGCAGGAGGCAGCTGGTCGATGTTTCTCTCTCATCGATGTTTCTAACTCTCTATCCATCGCCCTTCCTCTCTGTAAAAAATCAATAAAAAATATTAAAAAATAAAATAAAATAAAAGAAGGTCTAAAGATCAGAAGCAGAAGCCAGAGACTCTTCTGTGGGTCTTAAATAAATCGGCCAACCTAAGTTCTACAGCTACATGGACGAAATACTGCTACCAAGCACCTGAGCTTGGAAGAAGAACAGAGCCTCAGACAGACTCTGGCCTCAGGCAACGCTTGAATTCGCCAAGAGCAGAGGACCCAGTTAAGCTGCGCCCCATGGCAACTGTGTGATAACGAATGTGTGTTCTTTTTAGAGGCTACCTTTGTGGTAATGTGTTATCCAGTAAGAGAAAATGAATGCAGGTGCTTTATTCCCAAGCAAATAAGTACTGTGAACTCTTTAGGGCTATCATTCAGTGTTAAAAATTCTTTAAGCTCAAAGAGATGTAGCTGAAAGTAATTTCAGATCAGAAAACTCAGGTAAGCTAAAGAAAACACAATATGAAGAGTCATTCAAAATTATATAGCAAGAATCTGAGGAAGGTAGTAAGTAACATCCTAAGCTCCATGCAAATATGAGTTAAGCCAACTGAAGATGGCCGCCAATGAATTAAAAGTTGATTTATAACATAATTGACTGTGTTTTACTATCATTAAAAATTTTTAGCTTATAGACTTGAAAATATATATGAGTTATAAAGGCAAAAAATATATATAACTTTATAGTGGAGGAGCTTGCCAGATACCACCTTAACCAAGTGACCAAAGTTAACATCACCAGTAATGGGGCACACTGGAATCCTGTGTCAGGGAACAGGATGCAATGAGAAGAACACAGCATCGCTTCTGCAATGTCCCTGCCCAAGATGCACCTTACCTAAATTTAATTATGAGGAAACATCAGACAAACCCCAATTGAGGGACATTTTACAAAATAACCAACCTCTTCTGTGGCCAACCTAAGTTGAGATTTCTCTCCAGAAGCTTCAAGGTCATAAAAAATCAACAAAACACTGAAGAATGTTCCACAGTTGAATGAGACTAAAAAGACACGGTAGCCAAGTGCCCTGTTGATTTTGGACTAGCTCCTTTTGTGATAAAGGACATTGTTGGGAGAAGTGGCAGGACTTGAATGGGAGTCTGAGGGGTATGGTCATAGATCAATGTTAGTTTCTCGATTTTCACGGTTGGCTGGCTGTTCTAGAGGAGAATGTCCTCGTTTGTAACAATTACACATTCAAGTATTTGGGGTTATAGGACATCATATTAGCAATTTACTTTCAAATAGTGAGGCCCACCTGGTGAAGCATTTGATGTGTAATCAATTGAAGGGCTTTGTCTGATTAAGATACAGTGAAAAGGTACCATAAGAACCTAAGAAGGGGGTTGTCTGATCAAAATGATAGAGAAAACATCAGGGAGTGTGGGCTGAAAACTCTAGTGATTGTAGGCCTGATACACAAAATTTGTGCAAGGGGCTCGGCCCTTGCAGCCGAGGTGGCTGCCTTGGCCCTCGCAGCCCTGGCTTCATCTGGAAGGTCGTCCGGATGGTCGGTCATTCTGCTATTCGGTTTGCTGTCCAGTCTAATTAGCATATTATGCTTTTTTAGTTCAAGGAAGAGAAGTCAGTAGTTTGGGTATTGTGCTGCTTCTATGGGGGTGAAAATGACATATGGCTTGATCTGCCTCTGGTTATGAAGAGAACTTTAATGGAATATTAACATTTGACAGTGTGATTATCTCTTTTATTACTACAAAACAATTATTTCAGTAGGGACATGCAAAAATTCCACCTGTAATGATCCCCCCCCCCAATTCATGTGAATTTTGAATGATTAAACAGCACATACTCTAAAATGAGATTTCTCTGGCAAAGAAAATTCACATTCTCATGATGGTAACAAGAGGTTCACATTCCAAAGAATGTTCAGAGATTATTCCCTTATCTCATCTGTTCCATGATAAAGTAAGGTTAGGCAAAAATGAGACCAGAATAAAATTATATTTCTTTCCAATCAAATTACTGATTTTCCTTGTGTTCCCCTCTACCCCTGCAATACACACCCCATGGAAATATCAAAACCTTCTTCACTTTATAGGAAAACTAGAAGCCTGGTGCATGAAATTTTGTGCACTGGGCAGGGGTCCCTCAGCCCAGCCTGCACCCTTTCTTAGTCCGGGAGCCCTCAGGGGATGTCCCACTGACAGCATAGGATGAGCAGGCTGCAGTCGGACGTCCTTAGCAGAGGCAGGAGAGGCTCCCGCCACCGCCCCTGCGCTGGCAGCCATCAGCCCAGCTTGTGGCTGAGCGGAGCTCCCCCTGTGAGAGCGCACTGACCACCAGGGGGCAGCTCCTGTGTTGAGCGTCTGCCCCCTGGTGGTCAGATGCTCATAACGACCGGTCATTCTGCTGTTAGGGTCAATTTGCATATTACCCTTTTATTATATAGCATTATATCAGTATCTTATCCTTCTATCTTATTAGACAATTCAGATCTTATAATCTAGTCATTATTCTAAATTTTGGATTAATTCATTTGAATATTTTCCAAACTTCTCAGAAAAAAAACACATGTTAACATGGCTTTGAAACATAATACTTAAAAATGACAATTTTCAGCACTCACATGATATACTACTAGAAGGTAATGTGTCTTTCTACTCTTGTTTTTAAACAGAGAGGGGCTTTGTTTGTTGTTTTAGCCACTTCCTCTCTTCTCTTCCTCTTTGACATTTTGCTGCCTCCCTTGTCTATTTATTCTTGATTATTCTTAATATATCCTTGATTATTCTTGGCCATGTTATAAAGACTAAGAGTAAAAACCAGGTCCACAGAGCTGGGTGGGGGGCAAGGAAGAGATCCTATGTAATCTGATCCTAATAAAGTAGTTTAGTCGATTAACTTTTGGGGTTCAATAAGAAGCCCATTAAGCTCTCACACTATATGATAACCTCTGGCCTAGACTTTCTCTTTGACAAAGGAGTTATTTTGGACATTATCTTTCTTTTTTATTTTTAAGTTTTTATTTTATTTTATTGATTTCAGACAGGAAGGGAGAGGGAAAGAGATAGGAACATCAATGATGAGGGAGAATCATGGACCAGCTGCCTCCTGCATGCCCCCTATAGGGGATCCAGCCTGCAACCCAGGCATGTGCCCTTGACTGGAATAGAACCCGGGACCCTTCAGTCAGCAGGCTGACGCTCTATCCACTGAGCCAAACCGGCCATGGCTGGACATTACATTATCTTTCTTACTCCTTTTCTTATTTCTCAATTGAATTCACAACTCAAGAATGATAGAGGGGTGCTTGGCCTTGGGCCCCTCAAGACTTGAAAAGTAGCCAATGAGTGTTTGTTTTTTTTCATCTGGAGAACTGCTATAGGGTGTCTATAGTAGGATGACCTTGCCAATGTTGCCGAAGCCATGCTGGCATCGCAGGGTGGGAGTTAGCTCCTGTGGTTAAATCTTGTAAGTTGGCGACGTTGCCAAAGGAGAGCATGCAGAACGGAAGACCAGGTACCTCAGGGTAGAACCTCAAAGAACACCATCATTTGAGGAACTATCCAAGGAAGAATATACATGAAGGCAACTGGAAAGTAACAGATAGGAGAATCAGAAGCGTTTGATGTTTCATAAGTCAAAGAAGGAAAGAAGTTCAAGAAGTAAGGCATCACCAGAGGTGAATATTAATTTTATTACATAGGAAGAAAGGATATGCAAATTAGAGCACTTTTTCCTCAAACTTGAGAAAATACATACTCCTTTTACAAGGAAAAAATCACTTTGGACTACCACCCCTCCATGCTGAGTTAAATTATTGTTCTAATGTTACTTAAACATGTGAAAATATGAAACTTGTTTCAACTTCATTATACTTCTGGTTTTTATGTAATTAAAAATTAAACAAATTTATGTTAAAAACAAGTAGATTATCAAATAAATAGTCATCAAATTAAATAAATTTACTATTCGGAATGGTCCCCCCCAGAAGCCAAATCACTCATCCCAAAGTGAATATGGTATCAATTGCAACTAGTCAGATAGTTTATTCTTGTTTTTCAAAAATTTTGTGGAATATATATCATGAAAGACTTAACACAAAATGAGACTCTATTTCTAAACAATTATTCCTGAGTTTGTATATTTACCTGCACTTACATATTTGTCTTTGACTCCAAATAAGTTGACTCCTCCCCATATTCTATGAAATTTTATATACACACGTTTATCTCAATGTCTTTTTAAACATTTTTTTACATATTTTTATTGATTACAGAGAGGAAGTGAGAGGGAGAAGAGATAGAAAAATCAATGACGAAAGAGAATCATTGATTGGCTGCCTTCTGCACGCCCCACACTGGGGATTGAGTCCACAATCCAGGCATGTGCCCTTGACTGGAATCGAACACCGGACCCTTCAGTCGCCTAAGACCATCGGAAAACACATATATAATTACATATTGTTTTTGTGATTAATCACTATGCTTTAATTATGTTCAATTTGTAACAATGAAACTGGGGGTCACCACAACATGAGGAACTGTATTAAAGGGTCGTGGCATTAGGAAGGTTGAGAACCACTGACTTAGAGGAAGCAGCAAGTTCACGGGTGAAGAAACCAGAGACAGTAGGAGCAAGTTTGAAAACAGTTAAGCAGACAAGCTCTCAACTGAGAAGGATGTGAGACATTGGGAAAGCCACTTACCGCAGGAGGCGTCCTGGCGAGATTATTTTCTGAGTTACTCAGTAACGGCTCCTCCTCCTCCTGCGAACAGCAGCCATAGTCAGCCCTTAATTCTCCTGGATCATGTGTCCTAGACTTCTGGTGCTTTGCAGAGACAATGAAGGTTTAAAACCCCCATTTAGCCTGTTAAATGGTGTCTTAGGGCCTTGAAACCTAAAGATCATTTTCTTTCTGCTGGTAGAACTGTGCTTCCTATTTTAGGAAGTTAGATCAAATAAGCATCTCCCCATGTTTTAATCCTAAATACTTAATAGTACCAGCCACTTGCCTATGGCTAACGTAACAACTAGCAGAAAATTAAAAAAAAAAAAGTACCAGACACTGTCTTCGGAAATAATTTCCTTTTGGTTCAAAATGCGCCTCTCCTTGTTTTCTCTTGCCTTTCGGGTAATTCACTCTTCTCAGTTTGAACTATGCAGTGTAAGAGTCTCTGTAGTCACTCCAAGTGGAAGGCAATTAAAAAAAAATCTTTATTTATCCTGCAGGTACTTGAAAGTGTCATCCGGCCTCCTGACATGCCACACCAGGAGCGTTTCGTCTTAGCTGGGAATTAGGTGAACAGTAGTTGGGCCAACTCAGTGAATCATGCAACCTGCTAATCGGAGCTGGAAACGTTTTGTGGCTGTGCCCTTATTCCACTGTAAGGTCTTGATACATTCTGACCACACTGTTTGAAAAAAGTAAGTTTTCCCAACATTTAAGTCCTTCTTTCATTTAGTATCTTATCACACTCAAAATTTCAAATGCAGGTTATATATTTGTCAAAATATACGGATCTCAGAACCAGCCATTATCTCCCAACAGTTCCCGAATTTGTCTTATTTTTCTCAATAAAAAATCCAAACGAACACTTATTTTTCTTGAAAACCACCTTTTCGTTAATGGCTTAGCCTCAAATTGACTTGGTAAACAATAAAAAGAATATTTTTTTGAAAACAAGAGTCTTCCAGGGGTGACAGTTGGTGTTTCAGCACCTGCTTTACACCTGGGAGGCTCAGATCAGAGGTGGTTAAGTCTCTATTGTTTGTTTAATGGACCAGATTTCAAACATAATTCCCTCTTGTCTTCCTCTTTTTCCAAATGGTGAGGCCAGCGAGACCTTTCCCACTGCAACGGAGATAAAATTGAAAAATGTTGTCACAACTGTACTGAGAAAAACAGTGTTGCTATTCTTCTTGGAGGAGTGATGTAAAATGCAGTTCTCCAGAATTACCAAAGTTTATTATTTGTCCAGTATTTTAAGGGAAACAAAGGGACCCATCTCAGGTATTTAGCATCTGTTCTCAGTACCTTTAGGCTCTCAATCTAGTTCCTGAATTTAATCAGTTTTCTTCTTTTATTGACAGAATAAATAAGTGATGTTTTGTCTGTTTGTTTCTTCCTTTTGCTACGTTGCTTTATGGCATCATAGCAGAAAAATTCAAGTGTGACCTAAAAAGCTTTCGAAATGTCTAAATGAGATTTTTCTTAACAGAGGGAACATTGAACTAGATCTACTAGGATTTAGCAAATGAAATCTGGTAGTAGGAGTCAAAGTAATTACCTTAAGTTGGTGATTTATTTATTTAAAAATGCTTTTATACTCACTGTATCATTTGATCTATACCCTTGGTAGACATAGCTTGGAAAGGTAAACATTTCCAAAAGTATATCTTTTCCCACCTATTGCCTCAATTACCATTTCTACCTAGATGTTTGCTTGTGTACCCTTTAGTTTTAATCAGGTGTAATAATCAAAGCCCTTTTTCTTACAGAGGGTTTGCCATCTAAACTTCAATCTCCTATTTCTCAGACTTTTACTCCTTCATCTGAGCCTTAATGTAGGTGTTCCTTAAGATCCAGTTATTGGTTCTTTTTTCTTTTCTTCTTCTTCTCTCTTTTTTTTTCTCCTTCAACTGTCACTTTCACAAGGTGCCTTCGGAGGTGCACAGGTAGATGCTCAACCACTGAGCCAGGCTGGCTGGACTGCATCAGTTTCTAATCAACTTGGCATTATTCATTAAAAGTCACTTATGAATGCGTGTGCAGGTCCAAATAAATTCCACACAGACTCCTACAAGTTTGTGACAATGGGTTAACTTTCAACATAAGGGAGTGTTTACCAAGCCAAAGGCCACTGATACTTGCCAAAGGCCATTAGTCGAGGGAGTCCAAATTAGGAGAAGATCCTGAAATTTGGTAAATTTTAGACGGATTCAGGGATTCTGGTCTTTTTAAGAATTTTGAGGTAAACCACGTACAGCTGGAGTTAAAGTTCCAAGTTGTCATTTTCTTACATACATTCAGCCTTACCAAGTCCTAGGACAGTGATAGCGAACCTTTTGAGCTCGGCATGTCAGCATTTTGAAAAACCCTAACTTAATTCTGGTGCCGTGTCACATATAGAAATTTTTTGATCTTTGCAACCATAGTAAAACAAAGACTTATATTTTTGATATTTATTTTATATATTTAAATGCCATTTAACAAAGAAAAATCAACCAAAAAAAATGAGTTCGCGTGTCACCTCTGACATGCGTGTCATAGGTTCACCATCACTGGTCTAGGAGGATCATCAGTCAGGCTTTGCAGGGTAGTGATACTAAAGCAGTGGTTCTCAACCTTCCTAATGCGGCGACCCTTTAATGCAGTTCGTCATGTTGGGGTGACCCCCAACCATAAAATTATTTCCGTTGCTACTTCATAACTGTAATTTTGCTACTGTTATGAATCGTCATGTAAATATCTGATACGTTACAAATTGAACATAAAGCATAGTGATTAATCACAAAAACAATATGTAATTATATATGTGTTTCCCGATGGTCTTAGGCAACCCCTGTGAAAGGGTCGTTGGACTGCCAAAGGGGTCACGACCCACAGGTTGAGAACCGCTGTACTAAAGGGACACTGACTCACTCCTTCCAACCGGCTGGCTGGCAAGCTTGGATGCAGAGAGACAAGAAAGGGCATCTGTAACCCCGTTCAATGAACAATCGAATTAGTGAATATAAAATATGAGACATATCTTGTTCGTTGTTCAGTAATTGACAAGCAAGCGCGGGTAAAACCACCAGGCGGGAGCTGAGCCATCTTTGAAGCACCGGCATCCGCATCACCTCTGACATCCCTCCACCAGGGACTCCGAGTCGACCCGCCTTCCGGATCCGCGCGCGGGGCGGGGCAAGAGCCGGAAGGGCGCGGCAGGGGGCGGAGCGAGTGCCGACGTGGGGGCGTGGCCTCTAGGGGGCGGAGACAAGATGGCCGCCCCTAGCGCTTGGAGGACCTAAGGGGCGGTGGCCGGGGCCACGCCCCGGGCGGGAGGGCCGCTCTGTGCGCGTCCGCTCTATGATGCTTGCGCGCGTCCCCCGCGCGCCGCTCTGCGGGCGGGGCGGGTCTCCGGGATTCCAAGGGCTCGGTTACGGAAGAAGCGCAGCGCCGGCTGGGGAGGGGGCTGGATGCGCGCGCACCCGGGGGGAGGCCGCTGCTGCCCGGAGCAGGAGGAGGGGGAGAGCGCGGCGGGCGGCAGCGGCGCTGGCGGCGACTCCGCCATAGAGCAGGGGGGCCAGGGCAGCGCGCTCGCCCCGTCCCCGGTGAGCGGCGTGCGCAGGGAAGTCGCTCGGGGCGGCGGCCGTGGCCGGGGGCGGTGGAAGCAGGCGGGCCGGGGCGGCGGCGTCTGTGGCCGTGGCCGGGGCCGTGGCCGGGGACGGGGACGGGGCCGTGGCCGGGGACGGGGCCGCGGCCGTCCCCCGAGTGGCGGCAGCGGCCTTGGCGGCGACGGCGTCTGCGGCGGCGGCAGCGGTGGCGGCGGCGCCCCCCGGCGGGAGCCGGTCCCTTTCCCGTCGGGGAGCGCGGGACCGGGGCCCAGGGGACCCCGGGCCACGGAGAGCGGGAAGAGGATGGACTGCCCGGCCCTCCCCCCCGGATGGAAGAAGGAGGAAGTGATCCGAAAATCTGGGCTCAGTGCCGGCAAGAGCGATGTCTACTACTTCAGGTACCGCCCTGAGGGGGGGAGGGGGAGGAGGGTTAGTGGTGGCGGGGTCAGGCCGGGGTCAAGGGTCAAGCGCTGCCCTGGGCCGGGGGGAGTCCAGCTGAGAGCTGGGGTGTCCTAGGGAAGCGGCACCGGCCGGCTGGCCTGGTCGTCGAGGTGCCTGAGCCCTGGGTGCGAGCTGAGCCCGGTGCAGTGAGAGCCCAGAGCCGGGCGTCCGCGGTTGCAGGTGTTGGAGACGGTGGTTGGCGAGGAAAGGGTTCCTCTGGCGGCGATGACCCGCCGCTGAAGGGTTAAAAGGAGGTGCAACTCATCGAAACTGTAAACCCCAGTCACGGTTGGCTCCGTTCCCAGCCGTCGCAGACGCATCCCCGCCAGCGTTGAATCATGCACACGTGCAGGAACGAGCCCCCGGGGAGCGGGGCTTCGGCCCCCTGGTGGGTCCGGGCCAGTGACCTGTCAAGTGCCTGCAGCCCTTTCGGTGGGTGTCGCAGGACTTGCACCCGTTTGAAAGCTAAGCACTGTCCTAAGCAGTGAGACTCCTAGACCCCAATTAGCCTCCCGGGGGAGGGGGGGCATGTGTCAATGTCTGGGGACGTTTTTGATGGTCACCCCTTGGAAGGGGCAGCGACCGACATCTGGTGGGTCGAGGCGAGGGATGCTGCCAGCTCTTCTACAGCACGCAGGGTGCGCCCCAGGGACACTGGCGCCACGGTTGAGAAAGCCGGGTCTGAATGATGAAGGCTTTCAGCTGGACGTCGTCCTGCTGTCCATGTCATTAGTTTGGATGGCCCAGGGAGATCAGGAAGATGCCTGTGGCTGTTGATACCAGTGGAATTTTCTTATCAACACATTGACTCACATTTCTTTATGAGTCTTCCCACTTCCAGGACAAAGTGGGAGCATGTTCTATTCAGTGGCTTTGCAGGCTGTGTTTGTGGGCTGATGGAATCATTTTTCCAGGAAATAATATTTGGGTGTTACAACCAGTTGTCAGCCATTTGGCCATTAGAATAATATTTTGAAGGGTTTGCATTCTTCTGACCTTGAGTTGGTTAATATAGTACCCCTGGGAAAACATATTAAAGTGTATGTGTATATGAATTGCAAATACTCATAAGTAGATTTAAAAGGTTAAAAAATATACGCATGAGTATGGGTATATACATATGTGCATACACAAGAATGTGATCACTACTGGGATCACATGTAAATATGAAGGCTGTATATTTCTGATAGTTGCTCAAGTATATGGATGAGTAGTTTCAGTAAATTCATCTCTTCAAGTAAAAAAATTAAAGTGGCTTATTAGAACTGTTTTGTCAGTTTATCTGAGACCACTTATCTTGACATCGTAAAAGATGAAAAACTTAATCATTCAAAGATGGTTATCTTGTTTTGAATTTTCCCATCATTAAATATTAAATGTACTTGAATAATACTAAGAAAGTAAATTGTGGAACAAATTCTTACTCCTCTCAAGTTCACTTGTTTGTTGTAGTGATACTCACATTGTTCCCTTTTGCGCATTCTTTCATTAACAGCTCCTTCTGTTTTTCTAAGCAGGTGGTATGCAAGCCTTCTTTCTGAGAACTTGGGGGATAGGAGGCTAGTCTATCCTCAGTAGAGCATATTAAACTCAGTTGCACTCTGTGATGTTTCTCCTGGGATATGGGTTGTTTGGCTTTGAGATGACGTATTTATTCAAACTAACTTTTGGTTTTTGCAAAGTTTTTTTTTTCCCCCCCTTGCAGTAGTTAGAAAAATTATTTCAGAAAATAGATTACTGCATTCTAATTTGTGGTCACTTAATATATTTTGAACGTGTTGTAAATTAAAAAATATATTTTTATTGTTTTCAGAAAGGAAGGGAGAAAGAGAGAGAGAGAGAGAAACAGCAATGATGAGGCCGAAACCCAGGCATGTGCCCTGACTGGGAATCAAACTGTGACCTCCTGGTTCATGGTCGATGTTCAACCCCTGAGCCACCCTGGTCGGGCGATGTGTGTAAATTTTTGACGTTTACTTTTTTTATACAAACTCAGTAGATATTTTATGGTAGAAAACTGATATAATTTAAAACAACTTTTCAAACATTCGTCGAAGACAAATCACAAACCAGTATAGTGGTAATTATTCTTTTTATGAGACAATACAACGTAATATGCTTTTTACTTGTTCATGCAAAATTAAAGGACACATTGCATAGATTTGTGCCACATGTTCTTGGTTCAGGGCTGGAAAGAGTGTTGTCTGTTCACTACCTACAAAGTGTGAGTTCCTAGGCAGGGTTGTAACACCCAGTCTTCATTTCCTTCTGAGAGGTTAAACTCTGAGGTGGGAGGACATGTGGTATGTGATACTGACTTCCACTTTCAGTGATGAATGTGGAAGGTCACCTACTTGTAGCGAAGGTGAACACATTTTTCAATCCGCAGTGTCACTGCTTTGCATATTACCATCCCTGTATACACCCGACCCGTTAAAAACCAGTAGCTCAAAACACCCACCATATCGTTCATAGGTGGTTAAGCGTTAACTCTCCCGTTGGCAGTGTGAACACCTGCACCAAGTTGTACACACTGATTCTAATAATGCTGACTCCTGAATTAGCCTGCCCCTAGGGAGGTTAATTTAGAGAAATCTGTGTTAACGCAGGGTCTGTCTTAACACTTATTAGTTGGACTTAAGCTCATCAAGAAAGCCTCACATTTTGGTAGAATGGTTTTTGGTTTCCTGAGACTGCCAAGTTCTAATAGGAAGGTGTGCCTCCGGTTGCCAGTTAAGCAGTATAATTATGCCTTCTGTCAGGACTACTGATAGTATAGTGGCAGTTCATATATTATCACCCAAAGTTTGTTTTTCAAAAGGGTGTGGTTTGATAAAGTGTTGGATCCACTGGTACAGTTCCTAAAAAAGTTCGTTGCCATTATTTGAACTCATGATTTGAACAATCATTTTACTGGCAATGGAACCCGAGACTCTTAGGTGCTCGGCTGACACTGTAACCACTGGACCACACTGGACAGGGCTCTCGACTTTTGCTTATACCTGGGTTAAACACCTGGGAGTCATGGGCAGCTGTTAGAGCTGCTGCTGTAATATATCATCTGGATGGATATTGGAAACATAATAGTAAACATTTTGACTCTTACCAAATTATGATGTATTCACACCTGATCACTTCTCTCAAAAGAAAAGACAATGGAACTAGAGGACAATTAAACAAAACAAAATAAAATAATCATAGGGAGCCAGGTGCATGAGGAGAGACTAGAGATTTCATCTTGATCTGGAGAGAAGAGGACTTGGACACAAAATAATTGAGGTCTATAAAATCATGAGATACATGATGAAAGTAGGAGTCTAGGGAAGGCAGTAGAGCACAGGAGCTAAGAGGTCTGG